AAAAAAACACACTAGGTCTTATTTTCGGGATAGGTCTTATTTTTTTTTTGTTAATGTACAACAATCCAAAGTTAATGCAAATCCAAATTAAATAATCCAAAATGGCAAAGTTAAGAATAGGGTGATCAGGGATGCCGTACCTTTCCAAGAGCAATTTGATAACCAATCGCGCTTTCACTAGTATTCCTCACAGGTGGAGTGAGTTTGGTATCACTCCGCCTGTGACAGGAGAAAGCATCAGCTTATGCGGCTCTGCTCCCTCTGCTGCCGCCTCGCTTCCTCTAGCGCCGGCTTTGTTGGCACCGCTGATTCTCTCCCGAGGCTCTTCAAGTTTCCCCTTATGACACCACTGGCCCTGGGAAAGGTCACAGCTAGGTCTTATTTTCGGGGTAGGTCTTATATTTTAGCAATTCCCAAAAATAGTACTAGGTCTTATTATCGGGGTAGGTCTTATTTTCGGGGAAACAGGGTAGATATAGCAGGGAACTCTGGAGTTTGTAGCTCTTTATATTTAAATGATTGAAGGCAGTGGGATATACTGGTTTTACATAATAAAAATATGTTCCATTACAAATGTTTCAGTCACATAGAACTTCTAGGGACATGTCTGTATATTTACTTTTCCCCACCCCATCCCACATGCGCAGACACACGTGCATGTCCCAAGTTAATCCATATACTGGCAGAATGTATGATTTCCTGGCCATTCAGAGAATATGAATGATAACACGAAAACCTTTCTGTCACTCATGGGTAGTGTTTGGCTGAAGCCATTTATTATCAAATCAACTGTGTTTACTCTTTTCCAATCATAATGACAACAGAAACTACCCAAATGACCCTGATCAAAAGTTTACATACCCTGGTGATTTTGGCCTGATAACATGCACACACGTTGACACAAAGGGGTGTGAATGGCTTTTAAAGGGAACTATCCTCACCTGTGATCTGTTTGCATGTAGTCAGTGTGTGTGTGTGTGTGTATAAAAGGCCAATACATTTCTGGCCTCCTGACAGAACCTTGCATCCTTCATCCAGTGCTGCACTGACGTGTCTGGATTCTGATTAATGGGGAAAGCAAAAGAATTGTCAAAGGACATGCGGGAAAAGGTAGTTGAACTGTATAGAACAGGAAAGGGATATAAAAATATATCCAAGGAATTGAGAATGCCAATCAGCAGTGTTCAAACTCTAATCAAGAAGTGGAACATGAGGGGTTCTGTTGAAACCAAACCACGGTCAGGTAGACCAACTAAACTGTCAGCCACAACTGCCAGGAAAATTGTTCGGGATGCAAAGAAAAACCCACAAATAACTTCAGGTGAAATACAGGACACTCTGAAAACATGTGCTGTGGCTGTTGCAAGATGCACAATAAGGAGGCACTTGAAAAAAGATGGGCTGCATGCTCGAGTCGCCAGAAGAAAGCCATTACTACTCAAATGCCACAAAGTATCCCGCTTACGCTACATTTGGAGAGGAGTCAACAAGGCCTATGATGAAAAGTACACCATTCCTACAGTGAAACACAGAGGTGAAAGGTTTGCATTAACATCCAAATCGGAAGCAGACTATGGGTTGTTGCAGACTATGGTGGATGGCTGATGTTTTGGGGATGTGTGAGCTACAAAGGCACAGGAAAGTTGGTCAGAATTGATGGCACGATGAATGCAGTATGTTATCAAAAGATACTGGAGGACAATTTGCATGCATCAGCCCGGAAGCTGCGCATGGGACGTACTTGGATATTCCAACATGACAATGATCCTAAACACAAGGTCAAGTCGACCTGTCATTGGCTACAGCAGAATAAAGTGAAGGTTCTGCAGTGGCCAACTCAGTCTCCTGACCTCAATATCATTGAACCACTCTGGGGAGATCTCAAAACGTGCAGTTCATGCAAGACAGCCCAAGAATTTACAGGACCTGGAGGATTTTTGCCAGGCAGAATAAGCAGCTTTACCATCTGAAAAGATAAAGAAACTCATCCACACATACCACAAAAGACTTCAAGCTGTCATTGATGTTAAAG